ATGATTTATCAGTGTGCTTTGGAGTGGTTTTCAGCTTGCAATCCAATGGCTTTTCTCCCTGAGCGTAGTGTTGTTCATCTCCATTGGATGGCCCCTCTTCCTGGTGTTTGTAAAGTCAACACTGATGGTAGCAAAATTAATTCCTCTGGTCTTATTGGGGCTGGGGGTTTGTTAAGAGACTCTTGTGGGAGTTGGATCAAGGGTTTCTCTGTGAATCTGGGCTATGGTTCCATCATTGAAGCTGAGTTATGGGGGATTTTTGGGGGGCTTAATATGGCTTGGGATGCTGGATTTTGCACAGTGGAGATTGAGTGTGATACTACTTATGTTGTGGCTTTGTTAAAAAGTCCTATTGTGTCAACACACTCTCTTTAGTATTATCAATTGCTGCAAAATGAAGATTCATGAGAATTGGTGCTGCTCTGTGAAGCATATTTTCCGTAAACAAAATTGTGTTGCGGATGCTCTCGCTGTGAAGAGTTAAGATTTTGCTCCTGGTTTTCAAGTGTTTTTGGAGGCTCCAGCTTTTCTTAGTGATATGTTAGCTGCTGATGTTCGAGGTACTGTTAGACCTCATTTAGTTTCTTTTTGGTTTGGGGCTTTAGCCCTCCTCTGTACCCAAAAAAAATATGATATAACTAAGTAATTGATGCCATGAAATTTTAAATTGTTATGTTCTTATCCAATGAAATCACCTTAGCTCATATTTCAAATATTTATTTGTTGATACAAGCAAATATTTGAAGCGAGGGGCCAAACTCAGCAAACCAAAGTATAAGCGGCAAGTTCTAACTGAGTCTCACTCTACTCCTTTGCCTCTGCTAGAACTCCATCGTCCCCTACCAATACCGACTCCAAATCCCCATCATCCAGCCCAACACATTCATCTCCTCTGTCTCTATTTTGGTCAAAATGCCCAGTCTACTTGTATTTTGCCCAAAATCGAGCAAGACTTGCTATAATCAGAGCTGCCTGTGAGGTTTTGTTATCTCGCTCTTCAGACTCAAGTCGGCGGCCGTAGAGATCCCCCCTCTATCTTCTTCACTTCTTGAGTTTCTTGATGTCGGTATCTCCATCCCTTGTTATTACTTTTAGCTTTTGTAGCCGTTTAAATGTTTATGGCTTTAAAGGTTTTTGGAAAACTTCATGTGGATTTTTAGGTGTTTTATTTTGTAACGATGTGTATTTAACTTCTATTTGTCACTCTGTTTACTTGTATTTAACTTTAGGCAGTGGCTTACAGTGATGTGGTGCTCCTTACTGGTTTTTTTTGTTCAATCTAATTGCTACTCACAACAGCTACATTGCATTAGTATTAGTTCTGCATGGGAAATCAAGCAGAATATGGTTGACGTGGCTGCTGATCGTGGGTGCTTCATTGATTAGAGTGTAGTATGAATATTCTCTGCACTTGTGCTCTAATTTAAAATAATAGCTACTTGGGCTTGATTAAGAGACCAACAATACAGGGACAAACAACATTATATTGAAGAAAATATATATATATATATATATATATATATATATATAACTACGAACTATAATTTAGGATAGCAACGTTGAGAGTAAATACATCCATTAATGAAATAAAAATACTTGTTTTATCATTTTATCCATAAAGTTGAGAGGGCAAACGAGGTTTGATGAGAACCTGAAGAGGGGTCGCCTTGACGTTTGTCAGTCCAAAGCTCTCAGTCATATCAATCGGTGCACTCGAGGGGTTGGAGATTTCAAACGCATGCACAAAACTGGCCAACGTAAATTGCACCATTTGAAGGGCAAATGCCAAGCCAGGGCATGCTCTTCTCCCACTTCCAAATGGAATTAATTCAAAGTGCAATCCCTTAACATCAACATCCCTCTGGGTGGTCAGAAACCTCTCCGGCTTGAATTCCAATGGATCGGGCCATATTCTCGGGTCGGTTTGGATCTTCCAAAGGTTCGTGATCAACCGGGTGCCCTTTGAGACATGGTAGCCGCCTATGGTGCAGTCCTTGGTGAACTCTCGTGGTCCAGATAATGGTGCTGCTGGGTACAAACGCAGCGTTTCTTTCACTATGGCTTGGATGTAGACCAGCTTGCTTATATCTGACTCACTCACTACTCTTTGTCTGCCTATTTCAGTGTCCAGTTCGTTTTGAGCTCTTTTAAGCATGTGAGGGTTGTTCAATAATAGTGATATTGCCCATGTTAATGTGACCATGGTCGTATCGCTAGCTCCTGCAATCATATTCTGCAAAAGTACAATTTATTTGATTAATTATTTATATAAAGCTAAATTATATAGATTAAGCTAGGCATATGTTTGATTACCAAGCTTGTGGCTTTGTTGACTGTGTCAGCATCAAAACCGCCTAGGTCTGCACCATCAAGCACAGAAAGCATGGCGTCTATGAAGTCTGGTTCCCCTTTAGCATCACCTCTTGCCCTCCTTCTCTTGTGCTCTTCAACCCACCCTCCAACGATGGCGTCCAGTTCTTTGGCAATCTTCTTCATCGCCTTCTCATGCCCACCCAAGTCCAACCACCGAAGATAAGGCACCGCATCACCCACCACAAACAGCCCCACATAATAAAAAAACTCCTTCAATGCACTCTGAACCCTACGTGCTTCTGTCTTCTCATCCTCATCGGCCGCAAACGAATAACGCTTTCCGGCCACCATTCTAAGAATCACGTTCAAGGTCATGTCCCCAAACCACTGCTTCAACTCCACCAAAACTCCGTCTCTATTATTGCTCTCCCTCTTCTCCGCGGTGCTCCAAGTTTTGTACAATTCTTGCAAGAAAGTTGTCACTTCAGAGACTAGAATGTGTCTGAGCAGCTCAAGCCTTCGGTTCGAGAGCAGCTCCAAGGTGGTAATCTTGCGCATCTCTCGCCAGAAGGGTCCGGAGGGTGCAAACCCAAACATGGCGTAGTTATAGCCAATGTGATCCACAGCCGCGAGCTTTGGACGCGAGCTTAAGGCCAAATCATTGGTTGTGAAGCATTCTTTTGCGATCTCACTGCTGCTTATCACCAGAGATGGATAGACGCCGAGGCGGATGGTGAAGAGAGGCCCATACTTGTCAGCCATGGCTGCCAATTTGATGTGAGGAGGTGTGGATCCTCCTAGCAAGGGAAGGTGGCCAAATATCGGCCATGCACCCTTGGCTTCGGTTGGGGCTAATTTGGCAGGTCTCCATCTGCGTGAGAAGTAATAGGAAACGATGATTATTGTAAATAAAAAAGCAGTGATAGAGTTTACATAAGGGAGAGAATAATCCATTGAAACTCTTTGGTAATTGGAAACTTTGAAGGCTACAGAATGAAAGCCCTGTCACACATATTATATAGGCGTGATATCTATGCTCATGTATATCGATACCACCTCATGAGGATATAACATAATATTATTTTTATACATAAAATTCTACGCCAAGGAAGTAATGCATTTGTCACGTCAAAAATAACATTATCAGATGACTATTTTTTACTCTTAAATAGTGCTAAGCAGGACAAAGATGAGAGAGTTAGTCAAATTATATAGGGAGATTCATTAATATACTCAATATAGGAGTTCAAATTATAAAAAATCTCTATATGAAATGGAATTTATAAACACACCCAAAACTCATTTATAACATAACAAAAAGGCTTTTAACTTCTTTTAAATTACAAAATTGTCATTGATTTCTTAAAACAAACCCAACCCAAAATTTCATAAAAAAGCCCAAAACACTCAATAGGGTATCAAAGTAATTTAATAATTAAAATTAAATTTAATAGTACCATTTGTCATTTTTTTGGGTATGTTTATAAAAATGAAATGATGTAGGGTTTATTTATAGTTTTAGTGCTAAGAATAGATATATTACTAAATATCTCAATTATATAATGAAGGGTGACGTATGCATTTCAGGCGGCTCAAGGTAATTCTGCAAAGTTCCAAATTTCCACAGCGGATGGTGATGGTACCGCACGGCACTGCACGGCACCGCACCGCAGTCACATCTGAAAAACGAAGCGTTTATGTTTGTCCGCTAGTACAGCATGCTGTGAAGATTATTCAAACTAACGCCACGTGGTAGAAAAGTCGAATAATTGAACAATCAACCGAGTTTTTTTATTGGGAATATCTCTCTATCTACTGGGGAAAATATTTTTTGGGATAAAAAAAGGTTTTGTGGATGTTACTTTCCACATTTGTAGGTATGCGTCTCAATCTCAAAGACTAAAAGCTTATATCAAATGGTTGGACCTTAATCTTCGATAGGTAATAATTAAGATGCGATTTCCTTCTCTCTAATTCTGAGTGATAAAAAAAATATCCAATTGGCGGGGTTGCCTAGTTATTGGTTTGTATCTAGAAACCTAACACATATCAACTAGTTAATCATCTTTTGTTCTGATTTCAAACCCAAGGAAAGTTGCATGACTTGAAGAGCAAGAGAGATTCCTGGTCATATCATTGTATTTTTTATACTTGGAAGGATCCGAACGTCATTAATTTGGACTCACCGGCTTCATTTCCATTTTGCAACTTAATTTTATTGGTTCAACTTATCGGCAGCAAAAAAATGATTTTCACTGGTTAAAGGAGCGATGTCTGCTTCCCAACTTTACCTGCTTCATTTCCATACGCATGCATGGTGATGGTAAATTGGTAATGGAGGGTGGTGGGCAGCCTCACATGAAAAACTATGTATCTAATTTGTTTGCTACTGCTACGAGACACAGACCATGGCTCAAAAATTGACAAATTTATTTCCCGTACATAACTTCTAGATATAGGATCTATAGAGCAATTACTTAGAAGTACATTTTGTGCAACAGCCCTTCCTATCTGATAGAAAAGGATCCCATGATCCTGAACTAGTAGTCTATTCCTTTCCAAGAATAGCATTTGTCAAAAGTAGAGGAATTTATAAACTGGAACTGTTTATGTTTAATACGTTCACAACATATATTGCATATGTGCATTTTATTCTCACATATAGCTAAATTCTCACTCTCAACTTTTTACTCATACAAATCAGGAGACAAGCGTGGTTTGACGAGGACATTAAGAGGAGTCAGTTTTATGTTCGTAAGTCCAATACTTCCAGTCATATCAACTGGTGCGTTTTCTTGAGTCGTGACATCAAACCAATGAAGGAAACTAGCCAAAGTTATAAGTGTCATCTGAAGACCAAAACTTATCCCAGGGCATGCTCTTCTACCACTGCCAAACGGCATCAGCTCAAATTGTTGACCCCGAACATCAACATCCTTATGGGTAGTGAGAAATCTCTCTGGCTTGAACTCCATCGGGTCGGCCCAAACCCGTGGATCAGTTTGGATCTTCCACAGGTTCACTAGCAACCACGTGCCTTTTGGAACATGGTACCCTCCTACGGTACAGTCTTCTGTGAACTCCCTCTGGCCTGAGAGTGGTCCAGCTGGGCATAAACGCATTGCTTCTTTAACAGTGGCCTGCAGGTACACCAGATTATTTATATCTGACTCCTCCAGCAGTCTTCCTTTGCCAACATACTGATCAAGTTCTTCATAAACTTTCTTCAAAACTTGGCGGTTGTTCAAAAGCAAAGAGAGTGCCCACGTCAGGGTCACCATGGTTGTGTCACTCCCTCCAGCAATCAAAATCTGCACAATCAAAATTTTGGTGATTATTAAAACAAATTTAGCAAATGACCATTTGGTTTAGCAGCATCCAGTATCGACTTTGTTAGACCAGGTGCTGAGTTGAAATATGACGGACAAAGGTCGTTGTAGTAAAAATTAAAATAAATTAACATATATACCAAACATGTTGCTTTGATGACGGTATCAGCATCGAAGCCAGCAACATCTGTAACTGTTCCATTGATGGTTGAAAGCATCACATCCATGAAATCTTGATCTTTTCCTTCAGTTATTTTCTGCTTGTGCTCCTCCAACCATTCCGCAACAATACTGTCCAATTCTTTGGCAGTTTTCTTCATGGCCTTCTGCTGTCCACCCAAATCGAACCAACTAAGCCAAGGAACAGCATCTCCCAACACAAACAATCCCGCCAAACGAAAGAACTCTCTCATGGCTTTTTGCCACCGCCTTGCCTCCTTCTCCTCACTCAAATTCCCATTCATAAAGCATCTCTTTCCAGCAACCATCCTCAAAATCACATTTAGAGTCAAATCCCCAAACCACTGCTTCATCTCCACTAAACGCTCCCCCGAGCTTTCTTTTCTTTTGATCCATAAAGTGTACAGCTCTTTCAAACTCATCTCCACTTCTGATACTCGAACTTTTTTCAGTAGCTCGAGCCTGCGGTTTGAGAGTAGCTCGAGGGATGTGAGCTTGCGCATTTCGCGCCAGTATGGACCGTAGGGGGAAAACCCGAACATGGCAAAGTTGTAGCCCAAGTGCTTAGCTGCTAGCGTAGGCGGACGGGAGGAAACAACTATGTCGTTTGTGGTGAAGCAGTCCTTGGCCACCTCCCAAGTACTTATCACCAGAGCAGAGTGGATACCAATGTTGATGGTGAAGGCTGGTCCATACTTGTCAACCAAGGAAGCCAAAGTTATGTGAGGAAGCTGAGATCCTCCGAATAGGCCAACATGACCTAACAGAGGCCACCCGCCTGCAACTTTTGGTAGTTTAGGACCCTTGGCTTTGGCAGCTGAGCTTGATCTCTTTATGATAAAGTAAGAAAATAAAAGTATGGCTAGGATTCCAGCTATGGCAGTGTTTAGGCATGGGAGATACAACTCCATTGTTGCAAAGGGAAGGTTGAGGGTTAGCTGTCATTCATGCAGTAGTTCTTATTTATAGTCGATATCAGTTTCTTCGTGGGACATTCAGGTCGGCGTTCATGAGTTTGTTTTGAAAGAGGGCCAATGAGGATTATTTTCTATAAGATAATTCGTATTTTCAGAAATACATTTGACTCATTTCAATATAATAATTGATGCGTAGGAAGCAAACTGCGAATTTGCTGTCACTACTTTGGGAAATTTCTGATCAGACAAGAAAATAGGTTATTTTAATCGAAGTTAACGTCATCGCTGCAATTGGGAAAAGTACCCCTGAGGTGATGAAATAACCTTCATGATTGAAGATTATCTTTTGCACCGTTTAATACTTAAACTTATCTCCTTTGACAAAAAAAAAAGTATTTAAACTTATCTCCTTTGAACAAAAAATATATATATTTAAACTTATCCGAGACTCTGTTTTTTTCATTTCTCCAGAACATAACATCAACCTAATGTTAAGCAATCCTATATCCTGCCAAAATTGCTTTTGCAATAAGCACTTTCACTTTTGCCTTTCTTGAGCTCAGCAATTAAATATTATCAATCAGCTTTCCCTAGCGCTATATGTTTTGCCATGGGAAGGCTGGTCCTGTCTTGTTCTCTCTTGATTAATTTTCTTCTTGTTCATCTATTACTATTTCGATCGTGCATGTATGTTGACTTAAAAGTGGAACCCATTTGTCAAAACTAGAGGAAACGCATCAAGCTCATTGGGCATAAATAGAAGATAGTTTTAGTAAAGCCAAACTTTTTAGATTAATACATTCAGAACATGAACATATGCATATGTTCTTTTCATATCGTAGCATTTATTTTCATATATATACCTAAGTTCTCAATTCTGAACTTATTCATAAAGATTTGGAGACAAGCGTGGTTTAACGAGGACATCAAGATGAGTGAGTTTCATGTTCGTAAGTCCAGCGCTTCTGGTCATATCAACCGGTGCATTTCTTCAGGTCGTGACATCAAACCAATGAAGAAAACTAGCCAAAGTTAAAAGCGTTGTTTGAAGGCCAAGATTTATCCCAGGGCATGCTCTTCTACCACTACCAAACGGCGTGAGCTCAAATTGCTGACCCCGAACATCAATATCCTTATGGGTGGTCAGAAATCTCTCTGGCTTGACCTCCATCGGGTCGGCCCAAACCCGTGGGTCAGTTTGGATCTTCCACAGGTTCACTAACAGCCACGTGCCTTTTGGAACATGGTACCCTCTTACAGTACAGTCCTCTGTGAATTCCCTTTAGAATGAGGGTGGTCCAGGTGGGCATAAACGCATTGCTTCTTTAACAGTGGCCTGCAGGTACACCAGATTATTTATATCTGACTCATTCAGCTGTCTTCCTTTGCCAACATGCTGGTCAAGTTCTTCATAAACTTTCTTCAAACTTTGGCAGTTGTTCAAAAGCAAAGAGAGTGTCCACGTCAGGGTCACCCTGGTTGTGTCACTCCCTCCATAAATCATAGCCTGCATAATCAAAATTTTGGTGATTAATAAAATAAATTTATCCTATGACCATTTGGTTTAGCAACATTCAGTCTCCACTCTGTTGAATGAGGCGCTGAGTTTAAATATGACGGACAAAGATCGTTGTAGTAAAAAGTAAAATAAAAAATAAAAAACATATTTATATATGTACCAAACATGTTGCTTTGATGATGGTATCAGCATCAAAGCCAGCAATGTCTGCTCCATCGATGGCTGAAAGCATGACATCCATGAAATCTTGATCTTTTCCTTTAATTATTTTCTGCTTGTGCTCCTCCAACCATTCCAAAACAATACTGTCCAGTTCTTCGGCAGTACTGTCCACCCAAATCCAACCAACTAAGCCAAGGAATAGCATCTCCCAACACAAACAATCCCACCCAATGAAAGAACTCCCTCATGGCTTTTTGCCTCCTCCTCACTCAAACCCCCATTCATAAAACATCTCTTTCCTGCAACCATCCTAAAAACCACATTTAGAGTCAAACCTCCAAACCACTGCTTCATCTCCACCAAAAGCTCCCCAGACCCTTCTTTTCTCTTGCTTCATAGAGTGTACAACTGCTTTAAGCTTATCTCTACTTCAGATGCTCGAGCCTGCGGTTTGAGAGTAGCTCGAGGGATGTCAGTTTGCGCATTTCACGCCAGTATGGACCATAGGGGCTAAACCCAAACATGGCAAAGTTGTAGCTCAAGTACTTACCCCCTAGCGTAGCAGGACGGGAGGAAACCACTTTATCGTTTGTGGTGAAGCAATCTTTGGCCGCCTCCCAAGTACTTATCACCAGAGCAGAGTGGATGCCAACGTTGACGGTGAAGATTGGTCCATATTTGTCAACCAAGGAAGCCAAAGTTATGTGAGGCAGCTGAGATCCTCCGAATAGGTAGAGATGACCTAACAGAGGCCACCCACCTCCCACTTTTGGTGGTTTGGGACCCTTGGCTTTGGCACCAGAGCATGATCTCTTTATGATAAAGTAGGAAAACAGAAGTATGGCTAAGATTCCAGCTATGGCAGTGTTTAGGCATGGGAGATTCAACTCCATTGTTGCAGAAGGGAAGGTTGACTTGAGGGTAGCTATCCATTATTGCAAACTCGATATCTCAAGTATTTACTTCTTGGGACATGATAATTGATGCAGGACCAATGATGGAGGATTATTTTCTATAAGATAATTAATATTTTAAGAAATACTTTTGACTTTCAATATAATAATTGATGCCTAGAAAGCAAAACTGCGAAGTTGTATGAAGAAAAATTCTAATCAGACAAGAAACGTCATCGCTACAATTAGGAAAAGTATACCATGGTTGAAATATTTCCATTTCTATTGCTAGGGACGTCGAACCGTAAAGTCTACTTTTTCACCGAGGTGATGAAATAACCTTCATGATTGAGATTCGACCAAAAAAAATATCCTTATGATTGATAATTATTTTTCATCCGTTTGACACTAAAAATGTGTCCAATCAATGTTTTCAAGCTAGTGGGTGGAGGTGGAGCTCACAAGGAAAATAAGAAGATTATGTTGGATGCTTGTCTGCCGATTCCTTCCATGCATTCCGTCAAAGCCTTTTTCAAGGGGGAAAATGTTATTGATGTTGCTTTCTATAGTAACGTAGACACACAACTTGTCGAGCCTCGTTAAATATTATATTATATTTATTTTATACGCAGCTTTATATTCCAATACATTTTTGTTTATTTACGACATCCAAGTTGTTTTGAAAAGGATTCATATTAGCAATGCGTAGTATTTAAACTTATCTGATGCTGTGTGTTTTTTTTCCTAGAAGACATCAACCTAATATTAAGCAGTCGTATATCCTGCCTTTTTTTCTTCTTGTAAATTAAAGACTTGAACGGCATAAAAATAGCTAAATTGGCCTTTTTTGTTAATGAAAAATTCGTAATTTTCTTTTGTTGAATGGTAGAATCTCAATCATATCTTTGTTTTTTAAGTGAAAAAATGAGTCCATCTTATCCTTTGACCTTTCAGTAAAGAATGTTTAAATTTCGGCCGCTGGGCCGCGCTGCATAGCATGATGATTGGACCCAATTATAATCCATTTCTTTTTCCTTTTGGTGAAGATTATAATGCTTTTCTTTCTTGACTGAATCTTATGGGCTGCAATGTCCGATGGGTCCACATATAATCAAACTCTCACAACATAAATGGCCCTCACAATCTTAGCTTATACATACTTGTATTTAATTTATTTTTATTTATCAATGTAAATAATACATTTGAAGAACCTCTAAATTAATCAACAAACAGTACATTTTTATTCTTCATTTATTCAAACGCTTCATCACAGATAGAGATTACCAGGAAGGCGTGGGGTGAGCAGAACCTCTAATGGAGTCGCTTTCGGAATGGTCAAACCTGGACTCTCAGTCATGTCAATCCGCTGACCAAGCGGGGTTTCAAACTCAAATGCATGAAGCAGACGAGCAAGCGTGAGGTGAAGGACTTGCATGGCAAACGAGACACCAGGGCACGACCTTCTGCCAGAGCCAAATGGCATCAGCTCAAACTGTTGGCCTCTAACATCAACATGGCCATGGCTTGTCAAGAACCTCTCTGGTTCAAAAGCAGACGGGTTTTCCCAAACACTTGGGTCCCTTTGAATCTTCCATACGTTTACCACCAATCTGGTGCCTGCCGGGACATGGTAGCCGGCTACGGTGCAGTCTTCTAGAGCTTCTCTTGGTCCTAAGAGGGGCCCGGCTGGGTATAAACGCAGCGTTTCCTTGATGATGGCTTGAAGATATACCAAGTTTTTTATATCTGATTCGTCAACTTGCCTTTCTGTTCCAACTTGGAGCTCTAACTCTTCTTGTGCCTTCTTCATCACATGGGGATTGTTCAAGAGTAGTGAGATTGCCCATGTTAGAGTGCCTGCTGTGGTGTCACTCCCACCAAGGATAATCGCCTGCAATTCCAATATCAGGACCGGATATTAGAATGATTTCAATTTCTTCAACACTTTCCTATTGGAATCGCTTATGTTTATTAACACATAACGAGTCAAAAATTATGTACGTTCAAATCCGTAGTAAGTTCCCGATTCATGGTAAGTAATTTGAGACTTGTCCAAAAAAAATTCATGGTTAAAAAAACCATACCAGGCAGGTGGACTTGATGCTGGTATCTGAACTATGCTGAAAATTTGAGAGTTGTCCGTCCTCCTGAAGAGACAACATGACATCAATGAAGTCCTCATCAGCTTCAGTCTTCCCTTTGTCACGAGAAAGTACTCTCCTTTGCCGATGCTCCTCCAGCCACCCTCCGAGTATGGCATCCAAGTCTTTAGCCGTCTTCTTCATTGCCTTCTCATGCCCCTGCAAATCCAACCACCATAGAAACGGCAGCGCATCCGAAACAACAAAAATCCCAATCAGATGAAAAAACTGACCAATTGCCTTCTGACACCGCCTCGCCTCATCGCCATCGTCACATTTTGCTGAGGCACCAAAGTAACGTTTCCCAGCCACCATCCTGACCACAACATTAAGTGTCAATTCCTCTAGCCAACGATTGAGCTCAACAACCACAGGACGTGACGAGCCATTTTGGACCCATAAATTTTGTAGCTCTTTTATCCCCATATCAAGTTCTGATGTCCTGACATGTTTGAGCATCTCAAGCCTTCGGTTTGAGAGAAGCTCAAGGGTTGCAATCTTCCTCATCTCACGCCAAAATGAGCTGTAGGGTGCGAAGCCAAACACGGCATAGTTGTAGCCCATGTGTTTGGCAGCCACCGTGGTGGGTCGAGAAGCAAGTGCCTTGTCATTGACTGTGAAGCACTCTTTCGCTACTTCCCAGCTGCTCACCACAAAAGCACGGCGGCTGCCTAGCCTGATGTTGAAAGCTGAGCCGTACTTGTCAGCCATTGCTCCAAGCGTACGGTAGAGAAGCTGGTCTCCGCCACCTAGAAGGTGGAGGTGGCCTATAATTGGCCATGCACCAGCAGGTTCAGGGGCCTCTCTAGACTTGGAACCTACAACAGCAGCTTTTCGAACAAAAGCACGAAGGAGAAAAATAAGAGAAAAAAACACACTGATGATAATTAATTGGAAAGAAAGATTCATGATTAGAGAAAGTTAATATGAATTAATGGAATATCCCGGTTGATTTATATACAAGTAGTTTACTTGGTCAGTGGGTTGGGCAGCATGAGACATGCCAAAGCCCAAGGCAAGGGGCATGCAAGTCTTGCCAACAGCCCCAAACAACTTTTTTTTTTTTTTTTTTTTTTGGTGGTGGAAGATTAACTGGACCTTTGGGGTTTGTTGACCTCAGCAATTTTTGCATGCTGAATTTTTGGTCCTGTCACAGCGTGACCCAAATTCAATTCAAAAAAATGAATATGGGAATCTAAAACTAGTACGCCAAATTCCAAACATCAAAGCTTCACAGAGAAAAAGTTACTGAGATAGATTATAGACTAGTGTTTGTTTGCCCGTGATATTTCTAAGACGTGCTGAAAGTGCAATGATGAAGAATGCGAATAATTGTCTGACCTCTGGTGTTGTTGGTGCTCACTCCAGAAATCATCTATATCTCAGTCCCTATGTGTCCTAACTCCAAGCAATTTCTCTGAGCAAAAGACAAGTAGTCATCATGAACAGAACCACAACTCTCACTTTGCCATTTGACTAACTCCATCTGCAACTCATTTCTGACTCTTTTTTTCTTTTCTTTTTTTTTGTGAGTATATGATATAAGGCCACAATATCATTGACGTCCAATGCCCAAGTTCAATCATATTCCAGGCCCAGTCCATGATTCTTTTTCTTCTTATTTGTTTTATTTTTTCAATTTGATGAAAGGGTTAAAAATAAAAACATTGTATCAGAAATTAAATAGTGTTAACTGTCCATTTAATATTCATGCATAACAAATTTCCATCTAAATACGGTATAATTATACCATGCATTGCCCTCCCCGTTAAATTTCTGGTATTTTAAAAAAAAAAGGACAAAATTCGCAGAAACATATGGAACCAACAATTACACAAGTGATCTCGATCAATGCACATTAGATATTAATTTTCTGGACGTCCGCCTAAAAATTAAGATGAAAAGATATGTAATTAACTCGATCTAGTAATTTAGTTAACACTTGGGAAGCTTAGGTAGGTAGGTAGCTAGGTAGCTAGGTAGCTAGGGTTAAGTCATTTGAAGGTTGAGGCTATTGAGCACAGTCCATTCGGCAGTTGGCCTTCCAAGCGTGAACTCTAAGTTAAGGTACATATCCGAAGCTGACAAGGAGCTACAGTCCAAAGTCGTCCTCCTCTCCTTCGTGCCAATGCCATCATTACACACATGGCGGCCTGATTCTTCTTCTTCCACCTATATCAAATCAACTACTGTTCAAAAGGACAATAATGCGCACACTTTTCTTATAGAATCATAATATAATTTATAAATATTTATGTGTTACCTTGGTGCCATTTGATTGCGGGGAATGAGAATATGTCAAGGCATTTCCAGGACTCAAGTTACAGCTGCCATTTGTCTCCGATGAAGAAGGCCACGAACCTCTGTTCACAAAATTAGCAAGAGATCATCAAAAGCTTGAACAGGCTCAATAAAACATAGATAAAACTCCACCCAGTGGGAGATTTGGATTGAAACTGGTGGAGCTCTTAGAACAAATCCGTTCAGATGAAATTAAAACGCCGACAGCAAATAAACATTGTTTGCTTCTTTAAATGTAACCGGCAATAGAGATTGAGAAACTTAAATTCTGTAGAAGCAGAAGTCAGTTTTCCAGTACGAAAACATTATTGCTCACTGCCATACATAATGGAGTCAACAAAATGCATCGATTGGGCAAGAAGATTAGACATGCCTGCCTATGATCTATCCTACCTAATAAGCTAGCTGGGGTCTTCGCTTCCTTTGTGATTTGCATCAAAGAGCATAACCGTCGGATTACAAAAATCCTTGAGATTTGTAATAAATCCCATTGACTTTGGGGACACATTGGGATCATCTCAACCTACGTTCACAATCCAACGGATAACCTTCATACAAACCCTAGCTAATTAACTCCAATGTTCATCAAAATCAATGTGCTTTAAGACGTCAATAGTAATTTCTCTGCACCATTAACAAAGACAGACACCACGTTGGACCAAAAAAAAGGTCCAAATCTCCAAAGCCCTTGTCAATATTCGTGCATGTAAATATGTTTGCATTATTTAATTTTGATGCCATTTATTAAATTAAGATTATTAGGGAAGAGGGGCTGCAAATGCACTCACCTATTAGCTTTGTCACAAGATAATCCTCCATTGATCCCTGGCTTCTGGGTCAAGCCCATATCTGTCTGGCCTTCATGACCTGCCACATTTATAAGAGATAGAGCCATTGCTCTGGCTTTATCAGACACCCAGCAAATAATTCACATCACATGGACTAGAAATGAAATTATCTCAACCACATTTTTGTTTTAGTTGGGACGACACAGTGGAACAAATGATAGTCTGCCTGTCCCACTTAGATCACCCGAGCTCCCAAACAAAGAGAATAATGGAAAAGATAAATGAAAACATGGGGTCCTTGGAGATGAGAGAGAGAGGGGGGATCGAACATCCAATTACCTGTTCCCTTATTGTCAGTGCTCTTCACTGTTCTATACATCTGCATGAGAAAACACCCAAACGAAAAAAATATGAGAGAGAGGTCCACATTTGCTGCGATTACCCCCCCTCTAGATGCCTTTTTGTCAATACCCCTTTGTTCTTTACCCCCCCACTACAAATAAATCATACTAATATTTGGAAAATACACAACATGTTAAAAAAAAGTACATTTGATAACTACTCTCTGAAAAGTTTGAAAAACTAGAAAGAAAACCAATATTTACTATTATTATTCATATATTTGATTGAAAATCAAACAAATAAGAGAAGATTGAACAGCATGAGTGAGCAGTAAACCCACCTGCAAATGACTCTTCACGTGAGCAAGGGTTAGATCCTTGACATTCATCAACTCTAAAACAGATTTTGGTGTTGCTCCTGCAGTCACAATTAATTTAATTTACATGAGAAATAGGAATTAACAAATTGCTTCATCAGTGGAAAGATGTTGTGAAAAAAGATTTGTATATATATATATATATATATTACTTTCATGGCCGCCAAGAAGCTGGACTGCATGTACGAAATGGGCATGGAGGGTTGTAGTCCACCTCATTCTCGGAGCTCTGATGCTTCTTTTCACATTACCAACCGTTCTTGCTCTTCTCTTGAACTCGCGGCCATAGATTTGAGGGTGGTGATGGAAGTGATGGTTGCTGAAGTTTCTGGGCAGCTGGACAGGAGGAAGGTTCATGTGATCTTTCATTTCAAACCCTAAACTCAACTTGGGCTCATCACCCGAAGAAAGATTATAGCCGGTGCTCCTCTCAAGGTGGTAGAAGCCATTTTCATGGCTCAAATCACTTCCACTGCTGCCGGAGTCGGTGGTGGAGCTTCTATCTGTACTGTAAAGTGCTTTTCTTGATAATCCAATATCAGCTTGGTGATATTGATTATCTGCGGCCGATGGAGGGCTGATCTGTAAAGAGAGATCGGGCAAGGGTGAAGTACTAGTTCTCATTATAGGGTTCATGAGGTACATGAGGAGGGTGATGTCCCTTAGTAGCTCTAGATTAGTACACAAGGTGAGGTGAAATGAAGAGATTTTTATAAGCAGGGAAGGGATCAGAACAAAACAAGGAAAGGGAGAAATGTGTAAATTAATAATTTGAAGGAAAAAGATGTGAGGGGAGGTGATGAAAGGGTCTGAACTCTGATAATATGGTCATGACTCATGAGTGCCTTATGATTTGCATTGGGGTTGAGGAAGTGATACAGAGAGAGAGAGAGAGATAGAGAGAGATATATATATATATATATAAATTAGAAGTAGGTAGCCGGAGATAGGCTTTTTTTAAGTAGTAGGATGGCTTTGATATAGATATAAAGGTGAAGAAGTAGTAATATATGGAAGATCAAAGCACAAGTCGGAGAGAGAGAGAGAGATTAATGGTATGGTACTGGGAAAAAGTAACAGAGTTTTTTTGGGATGAAGGGTTGAAGGAAAAGTTAGTTAAAAGGAGAAGTTGTGTATTTAAGAGAGTGCAGAGGGATCAGAGACCTTTCCAGTTTCCACAGAGAGACTAGAGTTAGTCTAGAGAGAGAGAGAGAGAGAGAGATGAGAGGCTCCGTTTTATTTTGTTATATTTTTTATGGTATAGAATGAAAAGGAGGTGCCGGGATATAATGGAGGTTTCTGCAGAGAAAGGGAATGGTTGGAATTCGAGAAAACAAAAAGGCTACTGTTCAATGGAATATCGGAATCGGAATTGACTCTCTCTCTCTCTCTCTCTCTCGTTTGATGGATGGATGAATGGACGGATGGATCGCGACCCATTTAAATACCCTACTGTTTTTGTTACTATCAGATATTATTCTCATTCAAGTTTAATATTTCCTTACATTAGAATATTTCCATTTTACTTCATGAACGAGGATTGACTAGTAGCACCCTAAAATATCCCCGTTCAGAGCTCGAAGAGCTCTGCCCTTATTCGTGCACCTTCTTGCAGACGTGGCATCACTCGCATGGCCATCTTAAGTTTCTTTTATATGAGAACTTAAAATCATGTTTTATGTTATGCAACTAACATAATTACCAAAATTTAATAATTCAATACCATGCATACAAACTCAAACTCAAAGTCAAAGTATATTGGTTATACCTAATAGAACTATATTGGTTCTTGATCAAGTTTTGAGGCATACGATTAATGTTTTACGAGTCTAGATCTTAATTCTCGGAATTTTAAGAGTTCAAAATTCAAAAATTAAAACCAAAATCATACACGTAAATAGATGCATTTCAACTCAAAATAAACCAAACATCATTTAAATACGATGACACGGACATGTATACTTTTAGGAAACTCATTTACCTTACATTTTGTTTTTTTTAAAGAATTAATACCACCACTAGCACCCGTTGCATAATTAAATGAGGATAGTTCATACTTGTGTTCCAGTCGTCCAACCCTAACTTAGTTAAGTAGTTAATCAAACCGACTATACATTAATTGCCAGCTGATCTAGTGCTGCATCCCCTGCAATGTTGTCTTTCATATATGGTCGCTGGTCCAAGTGGGCAATACTGGTTTGTCAATCATAATCGAGCTGTACACGTGCGAACCCCAAGCACACAAGTATTTTAGCTAAGGCCGTAGCATTAGAATATATAATACATATTAGATATATTATCAGTCCTGGTTATAAATAAGAAGATCATAAAGAGAGGGAATAAATATGAATTAATAGAATTAAGTAAGAGTATAGTATATATATATATAGCTAGAGAGAGAGGAAGTGTCAGAATGGCTGGGGTGTCCGGCGACACGAGGGTCGCAGAGCCACATGCAACTCTCTCTCTCTCCCCCTTACCATTCAAGTTTCTCAAACATTATTCATCCCACGCGCTCTCATTCTTACTTTCCTCACAATACAGAACGATATTTTAAATTATTCTAATATATGAAAAATGTAATAGAATTTGAGTATAAGTACACGGTATATTTTCTTGATGAACGCTCTCCATCTTTTAATCTAATAAAAACGATGGTAAAGGAACAGTGCGTGGGAAAAGAGAGCGCGTTGGATGAAGTGGAAGCCGATGAAGTTTGGAAATTTGATCGGCTAGTATTTGTCCGATCCAGAGTCTTCGATCGTCCCCAATATTCCCTCTCCGTGTCCAAGTATTCCTTGGCCAAAACCCATCTGTCGAGCCCCACCCGCGCGTGCGCAGAAACCCACAAAACTGAATTAAATAAAATTCAAATGAAACCGAGTCTGAGGACTGAGGATTAGGACAAGTTAGGAGGGAGGACCATATTCCTCGGCGTCAACATGGGTTCCTGTCACGTGACATATGGACGTGACCTTGTCTTGGCAAGAGGCTCTTTCTTTGTTCTCTTGTATTGGTCTTTTTATGCTCCTCCTCTCAGAAATCATATTAATATTAATAAAATGAAGCTCACAAACTCAAACCCCCATGACTTTTCTCTCCTTTATAATTATATAATTATATGATTTGTTTAATAATGGGGTGATTACAGAAACAACAAGATGGCTAGAAAACGTTAATCATTTGTTAATAATTTTGGAAGCCATGGTCAGCGCCTGATGCGCTCTAGATTCTCCGGGAAATGCAAATTTTGCATTACTTTAATTATATTATAAATTACCATCCTTCCTTCCTTCCTGATCATATATTCTCTCCCTCAAATCCTCAAATCCTCATCTTGTTGGATTTATTTGAATAATAATAATAATAATTAAGGTTACATTGCATTGCATTGCAGCGGAGTAAAATATCCGGTCAACATGTCTCTCTATGGCCTCAATTGCTTGGGGCCATATTCTCATATAATTATTCCATGCGTTTGTCTCATCATACTCTATCTCTACCCATCGGATTTTTTTTTTTTTTTTTTTTTTTTTTTTTTTTTATTTTAATTAATGCCTTTTCTGACAAGGACCCCATTTGGGTCCACGTTAAAAACAATTCACATCAGTTATATTTTCATTTTCATATGCCACCTACCTCAAAGAATATATAATGTATATACCTTCCTCGACCAGATATATTGCATTTTGCATTAATGGGTTCCTAATTTCCAGTTGCTTCACACAAGTGACAGATAAACTATAAGCAATATTGCTTGCTAATTAATTAGAGATGCCTTTAATTATTCTTGCATTTGGTTAATTCCCGGTTTAGTGCATCCCAAGTAAGAACTGACACGAGTTTAGTTTATAGTTTACCAAGATTTATGCATATGCCTTTAATTAGAGTCGCGTCTGTTTTACTGCTTAGATGCTTCTTCAAAATAAATCGTTAATGTTTTTCATCTGTTCACGTCCATAGCACGTGCAGTAGACCAATACTATATGAATGACACCTAACTATCTAAACTAAATTAGAGTTTAATTTAATACTTAGGCAACGGATCCAAACTTAATAGGGTTATTAATGTGGCATTCTTTGACTGCAAGGCAAGAGCTAGCTAGAAAAATAGCTCCCCAGCCAAGTGGTTGTGGTTCTACTAGAAAGGAAAAAACAGGAAACAGCTACCACTTATATTAATTACCAGTGATTTAATTACTGTCATTACTAATCATCAGGATGAATCATTTCTATAATGAATGAATTAATGAAGAGAAGAATATTAGTTTGTTCATGGCGATTCGTGAGATTATAATACAGGCATACAAGCATGTACATGTTGCTTTGAGATTTGAACAGCATCATCACCACCACCTTCCCCTTCGCTTCCTTTGAGTATCGATGAAACGACAAAAAACAAAGGAAGGAATCACCGAAATCAACGCCGTTTAGGCTGACGTGCCCCATGACATTACATCATACCATCATATAAAGAATAAAACGAAGATGCCAACATCAACATGCATGGATATAATATAATATGTGTGTGTGAATACGGGTGCCCTAATTAATTCCACAACACATGCATCATGCATCATGCATCATGCATCATGCATCATGCATCGATCCATCGATCCATCGATCGTCTTGCTTGCTGGGCAGGGGCAGTGTGGATTGGATGGGTTTAGAATTAATTTCCCAATGCCTTTGTGTGATACAAGACATTTTTGGTTCTCAAGGTGAAGGGTATAAGATGCTCTACTTAAAAAGGAAAATCTGACGGCTGGGAATAGTAAGTAAGGATCATTCATTCATTCATTCATTCATTCATCATTCATAATGAGATAATGAGTGGACAAACTAACAATAATGCATGCAGTCAAACACTGTTACACACACATAAAAAGGTTCATGCTTTGAAAACTAGATTTGACTTCTTCTTATCATTTTTGGTCCAACACCATCACCTCCATTTCCAGCTTCAAACAGAGGTGAAAGTGAACTCAATTTACCTAGAGAGAGAGAGAGAGAGAGAGAGAGAGAGAGAGAGAGAGAGAGAGAGAGAGAGAGAAAGAGAGAGAGAAACCAAAAAAAAAGAGAAGAAGAAAAGGAATGAGGTCAGAGCCTACGCAAAAACATTGAAACTTGAGGCCTCTCTCTCGTCATTTAAAATTGGCGGGATAATATCTTCATCCTCGATGGTAGCTAAACCTCTTTAGTCAATCCATGCACACACACCATAAATAAGTAGAGGTCCATTGGGATGTCTATTTAAATTAGGTCAAATATCCTATTCTGTATATATCGTGTCCCGAGTGGTATGAATTTTTAATCAAGTCTACGTATTTAAAGCATTTTCATGCTCCATCATGTCGTGTTTTTAAATAACTCGTGTATTTTGGCATGACTTAATTACGAGCTCTAAACACTTCTTCTAAGTTTGCGAAAATTAATATTCCAAAATTAGGGTTGCAATCATTTTCTCTTCCATTTCCCAAGTTGTGAGCCTGTGAGCCTGTGAGCCTGTGATTCTGCTGCAGCTGATGATGCTCTCGTTTTAGTCCCATTTTCAATTATGAAGGGTTTGATGGCATCCCACTGAACTTTTATTTGTATATGGGAATCATAGGAAGGAAACCCATCCCAATCACTTATATCTTCATCACCACCTCTATCTTTTCTCTTTTTGAATTAAATAAACTTGTTGTTTGCTTGGGAAAGTCCTTTGAGAATTCCCGTGACACTGTCTCTCTCTCTCTCTCTCTCTCTCATTTTCCCCATAGTTGTCCCGTAGTGGACCACGCCACACCACACACAAAATTAAATTCGTACAATTTTATTTTATATTTGTATTTGTTCCAACAATATAAAAGGACCCTCATATATTTCCTTGTTTTGACTCTTTCCCACACTGAGTCACTGACTGATGAATGGGAAATTAGGACGCCCCATTTATTCTGGCAAATGTCAAGCTTCTCATCAATGGCATATAGGAAAAGGCCCATGAACCTAAAATGTCCACATCCACATTTCCTTTTCACAAGGAAAAGGGGATAACACTTGATCATATTCATCATGTTTGAGTTATTAATTAATTCTTAGTATTAGCAATTTAAATATTATAATTCACACACTGCATCTGCACTGATGATGACTAGAAAAAATAATAGGGTATCATTCTTTATGTTTATTGGCTAACAGTGCTCTATCTACCCAGAAATGCCATATGAACAGTCAATGATTCCTACAATTAATGCCATAATAAATTAACATTTCACAATTAGAGACGAATAATAAAACCAAACATGTGGTATATTTCACAGAGAAAACAAATACAAGCTTTCAAATAACTAGTGTGGCCTGCAAGTACTTTTTTTATATTTCTTTTTTCTTTTTTCTTCTGGAGGTAGCTTAGCTGCCATGGCATTAGACCTAGAGTTTCGTTTATAATGGTGGACCATGTGTTGGTTAGGGAGAAGTGGTGAACAGTCGAGGCCTTGGCATATAAGACAGTGCTGGAATCTTTAATTTCTGGTAAAAAGATAAAACTCGATCTCAAATCAAATAGCCACCCCACTGGGAAATTTCTTGTGTTTGTCACTTTCGTCACAAAATAAAAAGTAAGTGATTAAAAGCATTTATCTCTGTACCCGAGCTCCCGTGTTCGAATAATCTCCTCCAATATCACTTGTATAAAAATATATATATAAAAAACCAAACCACCAACCATTGATTCTTGTATTTTTGTTTGTTTGGACCTCGGCCCATTTATAATAGCTAAGGCCATCTACATAGGTCCGGTTTGTTGTGTTATTAGTAAACGAGGCCCATAAGAAGGAACAGGGTCAAGTTGAGGGAAGCCTAGATCCGAATAGATGGCTGATCTCAAGTCGTCACCCAACTCTAGTGGAGGTCGCAGTGTCCCAAGTCTGAGACGGAGAAAGAGAGAAAGGAGGAGAAATGACGGTGTTTCACTTCTTCAACTGTGCGATTCTGACGTTTGGCCCTCACGCCGTCTACTACTCGGCCACCCCCCTGTATGCCCCCTAACTCTTCTCTTTTACTTATTTCTATATCTATTTGGATCTTATGCTCGCATAAATCATATCCAATTCAGTTCGTCTTCTTTTCCGAATCAAACCCTAACTCAATTACATGATTTAATTGTGCAGATCGGAGTACGATACACTTGGGACCTCTGTCAAAGCAGCTCTTGTTTATCTGGGAACAGCTTTAGTGAAGGTTCGTTAGTGTTCATAGTCAATAACAAAGGAGCCATACGTACAAAATCACGTTCTAGTAATTTTCATCTTGTGCCAATGGGGCAAAGCTTCCTAACACTTCCAGCTATGGCTGCTAATTGTTTTTCTTTGTTAAATCTATGTTCTGCAGCTCGTTTGTCTGGCCACTTTTCTGAAGGTATCCGACAATGAAAGCTTCGATCCATATCAGGTACTTGGGTCTTTGATTTTAGTTTAAATGTATATTTCCTTATAGAAATCTCCACATTTCAATAAGTCCATGCTACTTGACACGCTTGACTTGGCTTGTTTCGAATTGAAAACATTTGCTTTTCTTTCTCTCGTGGATTGTGGTTTTGACTGTGAGTGTAACCAACAACTTATTACTGCATATCTTTGTATTCAGGAATTTTTGAAAGCTCTTATTGGTTTTATAGACGTTGCTGGGCTTTACTTTGCTTTGACTCAGTTGACCCACAGGAATATCTCTCAAAATCATAAATTCCAAGCAGTGGGACTTGGTGAGTAAAACATGATCAAGCCCACCAAAAAGGAAAACTATCAGTTTCACTTCCCTTGATTTCTAGTTTAATTTTGAACCTTTTACCATGATAGTGTAGTGTATTTAATAGGACCCTCTTATTCACTGTTGGCAGGATGGGCTTTTGCTGATTCCGTTCTCCATAGATTGGCACCGCTGTGGGTGGGTGCTAGAGGACTAGAATTTACCTGGGATTACATTCTTCAAGGCCTTGAAGCAAATGCCAATCTGGTATACACTCGTTTCTTTCTTGTTTGTATTGTAGTCTTCTTAGCTGCCCTGTCAGCCTGCATCCTCAGTCATAGGTTTGTGGATATAAATCACTGAAATTTCCGTTCTGAGTCTGAAAGTTCATATAATGAATATGTGTTAATCATATCTCAGACGATGGATTTGTAAACTTGGCTAACATATTCTGCCTCTTTTTGTCTCTTTAATTTGGATTTTGGAGTAGATTTGCCTTTCTATGTTATTAAGTTTCAGCTCTCTCCCTTTATTCAGGTCTTGAGCATCTCCCTTGCTGCATTGGGCTCTTTGATGTGGCTGCGGAAAAACAAGCCTAAGACGCTGATTCCTATAATATACACCTGTGCAGGGATCGTGGCAACCATGCCATCTATCACAAGGTCTACTCCTTCCCTTAATTCTACCGCTACTCGAAAAATTCTGTGCTTTAGTCTATTGCTATGACACATGGATACTTGGGGTACTCATGCCTCTCTAAATTCTCTCTCCCAAAAACTTCTGATCCTATCTTTCCCTTTCATTTTCAAATTCTGACAATTAGTGCTGGTCTTGTTCATCAATTGTCAAATGTAACAACTAGGGTGCACTCTTTTTACTTTTCCCTTTCCGTCTAACTCATTTATTGTTTTTGCAGCTATCTGAGGCGAGGCCTGGGTTGGCACTTTCCAGAGGTTGTAGGGTTTCAACTCTTTACCTCTCTGGTCATGGCCTTCATCAGTTGGCAGCTCTTTGCTGCATGTCAGAGACCTTCTGCCTGAAGCAACCAATCATAAGCCCCAACACTGGACTATCAGTCAGCGAAGGTCTTGTGGATCAGAATATCCTCCATTCTCCTTCGTCTGGTTACCATGTGGTTTCATTTTTTCAGATCATTGATATGTAGAGATTCTTTTTTATATCTAATTTTGATCAGCGGACCCTTACTCACATTGCAAACTGAGAGAGTATTCAGTATAACATCAAATCAGTTTCTATGGGTGAACTTATCTGGAGTTTCAATGGAAGTTGAGATACGTAGGTTTATATCTCATATTTCAACTTTTGTGAATTTTGCAACACACATCCAAACGCAAATTTTATTTGTCTAATCTTGTTCTTAAGACTAGTATGACCTTGTTTTCTGTATTTGCAAGTTGAAATATGATCCCACAGATTGCTAATTGTTGTATGGTTGACCATTAGCAATGGCCCTGAAATTAGTTGCATGATAAATAATCTCCATCGTGCTCAGATTTCACGAAACTCATTTGTTTTATGTTCCCCTGAAAATATCTCCGTTTTGACAGTTTGGAATAATATTATGAACTAGTCACAAATACAACCAAACTTAATAGAACAGCTAGATGAGCGGACAACAAAGATTCAGCAAGCATATTCGTTTTATCTGGTACTCTCATCACGGTGAGATTTCTCTGTAAAACGCTTCTCTTCAGCAAGAGAAGAACAATTCCGACTGCAACACTTAAAACTCAAAATAACTGGCTATAGGTGAAAACTTGCAGTTAACTAATTGGCTATGGGTTTTGACTGGACTTCCGGGGCAGAACGCCTGAAAGAACCACCACAGAAGAGCTATTGCCTTCGCCTCTGCCTCTGAAAATATGAAGTATCACACCTTGCTTCACAAACTCAAAAATGATGGTGTCCCCATGTGAAATCTGGTTTGTGTCTTGACATGTCCTCCATCCTCTTTTCATTTCCAAACGACCATCACAGGTGACATCAAGTTGAACAAGCCATGATCTCCCGGTTCGATCTTGAAGCATTATAGTCTCTTTGATCAAAACGCCTTCAGAGCTCATGAGTCCTTCAGTTACGGCTATAGACTTTGGAATCAACTGAAAACAAAAACATGAACTGATCAGATGCTTAATCAGAAAAGGTCTTCATTTGTTTTTGGGTGACCAAAAGACTCACTAAACTATATAGATCACGGGGCTTAAAAGTTTTTGTAAAACACGCATTCTCCGATTTGAACAAGATGGGCCCTCCAGTGGATGTTTCTGCCAAATGATCACTTGCAAGCCTCTTGGCTGCTGCTTTTACATCCTTCTCGCAACAAGTTTTGTCATAGATGGTGACATCAAACTCTGAGCCACCATCATAATCGAAGATCAGAAAGTCCTCAGATTCTATAAAATGATCCTTCACAAAACCAGGCCAACCCTTATGGAAGAACAAGCCATCCCGTCTCTGTTCCAGTTCCACGGCCCAACATTTTCCAGTAGGGCCTCTCATAGTACATTTTCCAAGTCTTCGTCCATTGAAGTTCTTGATAAATGCAGGTGGTATACGCTGCAAAAGTTTATAGCTTTTAGAAAAAAGCCAAAAAGAAAGGAAAAAAAGCTTGTACATTTTCAGGCTATGAAATTAACACAAGGACGTTCACAAAAGGAAACCAGAAAAGAGGTGAAGATGTTACCAGATGCTGAGAGAAGTCATCACCAACAAGGAACACTCTAAAGGATGGCCTTTCTAGGGGACACTTTAGCTTCTTATCCATTTGAAATCTGAAATGTATTATGAGCAATCTCTCATAGATCGGTGCCCACCAGACCCGCCCGAGTTCAACGAGTGACTGTTCAGCTCCAGGAGACGATGTTGAAGGACCCACATTCCCCTTCAAATGGCTCACAACCTCTAAAAGCCAAAAAAGGTCTCACTTCCTGCAATAATCAACATCAAAACGAACACTACGGCTCCGTTTAGATAATCTAAAAAACATTGAAGTTTCAAACTTGCAATCGCACTAAGGGCAGTGACTAATTACCCGATGGCGTTGATCGGCGGCTCGTTCTCTGTGGTTGCGAGGCTGAGGTTTCTTCTCCTTCCGCTTTCGCTTTCTGGAATTTGAAGAAACCATAGCCTCTTGACCAGCGTATTTAGTTTTTTTTTTTAAAATTGAATTTTTTATAATTTTTTTGAATTTTTTTTTGCTCGTTGACGTCAGCATAACACCAGCACTGACGTCAGCACCCTCGGGCTGAAGCCCAGGTAAAATCTGCCCTTGGGCTTGCCCGGGCTGCAAGTGGTGCGCTGGAGCTGTATTGGGCTTGCCCGGGGGGCCTTTTACCCAGTTTGATAGCAGCACTGGAGCTGCTCTAACACTCGGATGCAAATACTAAATGTGACAAATGTACTTGTAAATGACAACATAAACATAAAAGAGAGTTTAGTTCAGTTAATCCAATCCTCTATTTGATTTTCTCTGTTATGACCTACTTGACTTTTCTGCCCCACAAGCTATCTCATTAAAATTTAATCCAAAATATTTAAAATTTGACACATCATCTTTAAAACAAAAACCAATTTACTACTATTTAAAAAACAAACAAAAATACCCTAGCCCAACTAACGACCTCTGCAAGCTTTCCTTCCCAAAACCTCTGTAATCTCTTCTCTTTCCTTTCTACAAGATTAAAAAAAAAATATCTTCCCATATCCATTGTTTGAAGGGGGTGGTTCCAAAAAAAAAAGTAATCCCTTGTTGTTTTCCTAGATAAAAGAAAAATCATGTTTCAATATCTGGATTCCAAGTTTGTTTGATGACATGCTTTTCTCTTATTTTTTGTCCCAGCTACATGCTTTTATTTATTGGTCCCTTCTACATGCTCTTCTATGTTTTTTTGGTTTTCTTCCTATCTCTGCAAGACTGCAACAATTCAAAACTTCCCCTTTCTCACCGAATAGTTGGGTTTCTGTCTGGCTTTGAATTGGATTTCAATGTTTTGGTATCATCAGGAGAAACAAAGCCAAAAAAAAGTCTAAAAGATCAAATCCAACAGGGTGTAGGGGGCACAGTAAAGAAAAAAAAAGACTCAGGATTACACCAAACAAACCAACAAAAGAAGTACAAAAAGTTGTCTTTAATCAAACCAATACAAAATAAGAAAATTGCATTTTCTCCCATAAAAAAAAATTGTACAATTGGGTGGAAAAGCTGCAGAGAAAGAAAGAAGAGAAAAATAGTTGAAAACGAGGGACATTGAAGAGAAAGGGAGATAGAAAAAAATATATAAAAATTGAAGGAGTTAAGTTTTTAGAAAAATTAGGTATTATACATAAAAATCTTTACAAATTAGGATTTGAGATATATAGTATTTCTGTTTAGGTTTTGATACATAGGAATCAAATTTTGTTTTAGATTTGGCAAAGAGGAGGCCCAGATTCGTTGGGTCAGCCTAAATTATAAAGACTAAAATTACATTTTTACCCTTTTTGTTTAAAAGCACAAAATCATAACGCCGCACCGAAAGCTCTTTCTCTTCTTCCTCACAATGAGTCTGCTCCGAAGTAAAGCCTGAGCTTGGCCGTAGCAAGAAGCTATGGCAGAGATCATTCGAGCGCATCATTGGTGGTGGCCAATTTTGGCGGAGGAGGGAAGGGCTGATTTCGGAGAGTAGAGGAGGGCAATTCTCTCTGTCTAGTTCTTCCTTCTATGGCGTTAAGGTCGTTCTTGGGCGGGAGCTGAATTGTATTGATTTTGAGGTATTTATGTTTATGCAATTTCTTCTTCGTTGTTGTTGATAGTTGGAAAATGACTTTGTATTGATTTTGAATAATTGTGTAGTTTGATGACAGTTGGAAAATGACTTTTTTCTTGCTCTAGATTCTGCGATGCTGTTTTGATATGATATGCGTAGTTGTTAATTCTTTTTATTTTCTTGTGTTTGTGTAAATTTGTGAATAGTCACATTGTTTGTACTAAATTTTACTTCATTAAATTGGTAATTTTTGCTAATAGTGATGTATAGGCATAAATATCTGACTTTTTAGTTCAATTTTTTGATCGGTGGTTGATGTGTAGAGTGTTGGGGTTTGATTTGGACTGAGAAGGGAGTTTGCATTGTGTGAGTTCGCACTGTAGCATTTGCTCTTTTTTGAACATTGTTTGCTTGTGAAGAGAGAGTTGATTAGATTACTTTGCTATAGAAAGTGATCTAGTAATTTTAGCTGGAGTTTCAATCTCTATAGAAATTTGCAACTTCGTTCTTGACTCTCTTTGATTGAGAATTTTTCATTAGATTTCATTAGCAATTTTAACACCAGATAAAATTGGACTCTTCAGTCTTTGGGCATTTTAGTTGTTATTTTACATAGGTTGATTGATGAGTCATCTCTCCCCCATTTCAACCCTTAAAAATATTCTTTAGATTATTGCTCGTGGTAGAGTAAATACTTGTGGTTCAAAAGAGGCCTAAAGTTAGTCTATCTCCTCATGGGTGTATTATGTGCAAGAGGGAGGCTGAAAATAGTGACCCTTTTGGAGCTGAAAATATTGACCTTTTCGGAGCTGAAAATATTCTCTAAAGCTTTGGCACAAAATGTTCATGGAAGCTTGGCCATGCATTTTTATGGTTTCTGAGAAGCACTATCCTTTTGGAGGGGAAAAACAAGAACTCATGTGGAGTTGTAGTGTATGGTTGTAGGGTTTGTATGTATGGAATGAAATAAGAGGATATTTACATATTCTCAACATTCGAAGTTGATGATTTTAACTTACTTGAATTTGCATTATTGTTGGGATTGCTTAGGCTTTCAACTTCTTCCTATTTTAGAAGTAAAAGTATCAGTAGAATTTTCAGCCAATCAACTATGGCAACTGGTATGTTCTTTTCAAATTTATTAGACAAAAAAGATATCAAAATAAACGGAAACTGCAATGCAGAAAACAGAAACTGCAGTGCAGTTTCCGTTTCCGTTTTAGTACTTTCATTATGGTTTTCCATTTGGTTCCTCATTAATATGTTTATTTTTTCCCATACTTTGCAGTGCAGTTTCTAATTTGATTATATGATTTTATTGGTTTGGTTGTTTCTTACTAGTTGTTGGCATTATTATTTTTTTTTTGTTTTCAGTTGCTAATTTGATTGGTTTAGGTTTCTTTTTACTAGCTGTGGTCATGTTGTTTTTGGTTTTTTAGCTGTTCTTGCAACTCTTGCTTTTGATCTTAATGTAAACCATCCATATAAACCACTAGTTGAGGCAATAAAGAAATTCAAAGTAGCTTAAAATGTCCTTGCTCAAGTTGCATGGAATTTTGTTAATGACGGGTATGTTTCTCTTAGTTCATATATCTTGCTTGTTCTTCTCGGCCTTTCTTTAGTTGCTTTTTGAACTTGGAATGTGGCATGCAAACTTACTATGCATTTGTCTTGATTTGGAAATGGTTGATGCCATCACTGTCATATGATATTTTGCATTTAAGCTTTAGTTCAGTGAAATTTTATACAGGTTCTGCATTCTAGTTTTGCACAAACTACATTGTAGTTTTGGTACTTACAATTGGATTTTTGTTCTTTCATTGGTCTTAAACCTCACCAATTTGAAGAGTAGAGGCTACCCATATGAGGAATTGGGTGGGCAAGAGAAGAGTAGAACTAGCCAAGAGTAAGGAAACTCAAAATGGGACTTTTAGAAACTGCATTGCAGTTTTCATTTAATTACTCTTTCCTTGGTCTTCAACCTCACCAATTTGAAGAGTATAGGCTACCCAGATGAGGAATTGGGTGGGCAAGAGAAGAGTAGAACTAGCCAAGAGTAAGGAAACTCAAAATTGGACTTTTAGAAACTGCATTGCAGTTTTCATTTAATTACAATTGGTTTTTTGTTCTTTCATTGGCCTTCAACCTCACCAATTTGAAGACTATAAGCTACCCAGATGAGGAATTGAGTAGGCAAGAGAAGAGTAGAACTACCCAAGAGCAAGGGAACTCAAAATTGGATAAAATTGTTCATATTGGTTCCTCCATTGTGTTTCAATAAAATTAATTTTTGTTTTTGAAGTTATTTTCATTTTTGTTTTTGTTTTTTTAAACATAATTGATATCTACATTGTATTTTTGTTGTTTGTTTTTTTGTTTTTATTTGTTGTTTGTGTGGAAAAAAGTGTGTAAAATGTTTTTTTTTTTTTTTTTTTTTTTTTTTTTTTTTTTTTTTTTTTTTAAAAAACCCCCGCTATTTATATATAATATTGTATAACTGAATAAATATTACAAAATCAAGTTTGGTGTAGTGGTTTGTGAGTGAGCCTTCCTCCTTTGAGGGTCAAGGTTCGAGTCCTTTCAATGACACAATTTTTTTTTCTTTCTAAAAGGTGAATAAAGGGCAACGGAGTTGGTCCTTTGCAGACGATGGCAGGCCGGTGACGGTGGCGGTGGCGGGAGGTGGCCGGCGGTGGTGGCTAGATATGAACATGTGACACAATTTTTTTTTCTTTCTAAAAGGTGAATAAAGGGCAACGGAGTTGGTCCTTTGCAGACGATGGCAGGCCGGTGACGGTGGCGGTGGCGGGAGGTGGCCGGCGGTGGTGGTCAGTGGTGGCCGGCGGTGGTGGCTAGATATGAACATGTGACATAGTATGCTTGCTTTAAAAGGAGTGACATTGTGTGTAATTTTGATTTTTTTTTTAATGGTATTTTTGTAAAATTAGGTACTACATTTTGGTCTTTGGCCTTATGCTAATTAGATGAAATTGTATTCCTTCTTCCAAATTAGTAAACTATTTTGTGTTTTAAAACTAAAGCTCCCTAAGTTTTTTTATAGTTCAATTAGGGGTTTTTTTATTTTATTTTTTTGGGGGGGGGTGCGCGGGGTTGTTTACTTAGTAGTAAATTGGATTTTTATTTTAGAGATGATGTGTCAAACTTTAAATCCCTTATATTAAATTTTAATGATGTGTTATTATGATAGAGAAAATCAAAGCAGAGGATCCGAATCTGATGCTGATGCTGATGCTAGATGTGACAAATGTACTTGTAAATGACAACACAAACATAAAAGAGAGTATAGTTTAGTTAATGCTAGCAATCTTCTCTCTAACCTTCTCTTTTGGGGGGATAAACCCCAATAAACAACTACAAATTAGCAAGAGAAATTTGACGAGACGAGAGACCCCTAAGAGGTCATCTACCAAAGCATCATTAGCCCACACAGGAGCATTATCAAAATATCAAATGCCTAAGTCCAGGTTGTAGCTCCACCTCAAGGCAGTCAGCAAGGCAATTTTTTTTCCCTATATATATGATGTAACTGATAATTCTCAAATTGCCTTAGAAAAGTGCAGCAAACCAACAAGTGGGTGAAATCGAGAGACATCAGTTTGTTGGATAAGTTGTACACCAAGAGCTGAGTCCATTTCAATGATGAGCCTATTGATACCTTTATCCAAAGCCATTTTAAGACCAAAAAATAAGCCTCATAGTTCAGCTTCAATTATTTGGCCCTTTCCCAAGTTCACCGCAAAACCCTTAATCCATTCTCCAGCACAACCACGAAGAATACCACCAGCACCAATATTCCCATAGGCAAGTTTGCAAGAACCATCCACATTCAGTTTAACCGCTCCAATACCAGAAAACTCTCAAGCCAAGAAAATATGTATTTTCTCCCCAGCTATATTACCACCACATGGAACCTTACTCCATTCAGAGATAGTATGCTTTCAACTTTTTGGATCATTGATACGTAAAGATTATTTTTTAGGGTTTTTATCACAAATGGTCCTTGATGTTTGCCAAATTATCACCTTTGGTCCGTTATGTTTTTTCTAACATTATTAGTCCCTTATGTTATAAGTCCAATTTTCATGTTACCAAATCCCATGTGCCTCCCTGTTTCCTCCTTATATTTTTGACACGTGTTCCATGACTTAACAGAAACTTAACACTGTTTATTTCAACATAATAAAATTTATTTATTATAAAAATTAAATAAATAAATAAAAAAACCCATTTCCTCGCCTCATATATTTCCTTCAGCAAAAAGGGAGCCTTGTCTTTGTTCTTTCTCCTCCAAACCCCAAGTTCATCAGATCTGCCATGAGTTTGTTTATGCCTTCATAGGATGATGGGACACACAATTTATATCTAATCTCCACCACCAAGCATATTCATCAGACCCGCCACCTCACCATGTCCATTTTCTTCAAGAAACCCTCAAACCCACATAGAGAAAGTGCTTCCATATTAAAGATTTGGCCCAAAGAAACATCACTCGAGCACTACAAAGACCAAAAATTGATCAATCAGAAAAACCCACAAGGGAAAGCTTGGAAATTTCATTTGGGGTTTCGCAATATTAAAGACCACACCAAAATCCACATGCACACTAGCACTTGTTGGGTTATTGTTTGCCGCTCATAGTGAATATCTTGAATGGATGCAATATTGGCCAAGCTTGAGAGAGAATTTTGGCTTTGAATAATTGAGTTTTTTAATCAATATAAAAACTTTTTCTTTAGATTTGGCCACAACTCTAAGAATTAAATGGAAATTAGATAAGAAAAGTACTAAGGCAAGGAACGACAATGAGATGCACAAAAGATAAGGAGAATTGTTATGGTACTGGAGATGGACGACATGATTTGGGCTGACATGAAGGCGGCGGTGGTGAATGAAAGAGATGAGGAGGAACTTCATCTGCCATTTTAATGAGGGGTGCTATTAAAAGAAGAAACCATTTGTTGTAAACTTTTTAAGAAGTCAATTCTGCTTAAAAGCAATTAAGGACTAATCAGGACCACTAATCCGCGTTTTAATCAACAAACAATACAACTAATATCCATGGTTATCTAAAGTAAAAATAAAAAAATCCCACTATTATGCATGTCAATTGCATCAAGATAATAGGCCGTAAAGAAAAGAGCAAAATCCCATTATCGGTCCAAAATTCTCCCTTCGATAATATTACAAGAAGAAAACAAAAAGATGCCCACGAGTCACGACCCAGAAAATATGCGCAAACTTTTATCTTTAATGCAGCAAAACAAAAAACAAAGAGAGTTAAAAATAATAATTGCACTTCCACCCATGATGTCATGGCAAATGGCAAAGGCAAATAAGGGCAGACACCGTGCACATGAATAGTGACTACCTTATCCCTTTTTATTTTGCATTTCCACTCATTGCCATGACAAGTAAAGGCAAACACTTTCACATGAGATATGATGAGAGGAATTTGTATGGAGTTTTGTTGTGAAAAGTGAAGAACATGGCTAGGTATTTATATATATAAAAAATTCTGAATTTTTTGGTATCTTTTATAATATTTTTGGATATTTAAATTGATCGCCAAACCCAGGCAACAGCCCAGACAAGTCTTGCCTTTGGACTTGCCCAGGTTGATGGAGCCCACTCCTTGCCCGGGCTAGCCTTCACCATTGGACTTTGTTTTTGGGGGGCTGGGGGGCCTTCTGCCCATG